TATTTATTATTTACAAATTTGCATATTTATATTTCATTTCTATTCATTTTTATATTTAAATGCACTTTCTATTACATTTATATATTAAAGATTATGGATAATATTATACATGACATAAATACACAAATGTTGCTTTTCACTAAAAGGAATCAGGACTTCTCAGAAGAGTAACTGGTTTGAGGACCAAGGAAGAACGTGTCCAAGATAAGCTTGAGAACATCTTGTTATATCAGCAAACAGGGAGCTAGCAGAGAGCACTGGAGTCGTGTCAAAAAAGACTCGGAGGTCAAAAAGGTTCTTTTAGCCAAGACAATTCAACATCAGTAAGAATAAAAACTTCAATATAATGAAGCGTATCGAAGGCTTAAATTCACAAGCTCACAATAACGCTATAAAAACAAAAATCATCACTAGTTTGCCTTTTCAGGATTCTATGAAACAACTCAGCACTTCAAAAACTGGCAAATAAAAGAATCAAGCATTCAGCATGTCTTCCTTGTACAAATTGCTATCAAAGAATAACCAAATATCTAACAAGGGAAGTTTTTCTTCATAGAAATATTACAGTATCTAAAAGCTTGACATAATTAGGACATCAACATTTTGTATACCCTCATCTGATAGAAACACTGGATCCAGCCAAGAGAATCAATGGTCACTACTATGTTACAAACATAGACAAACATTATGTGCCTCTTCACGGAAATATCCCTTACTCAAAATGCTTAGGACCAGAAATGTTTAGGATTTGGAATTTTGTTTTTCAGATTTTGAAGTTTTTGCAGTATACTGGTTCAACATCCAAATCCCAAAGTCTAAAATCTGAAATGCTACAATGAGCATTTTCTTTGAGTGCCAGGTCAGTGCTCAAAATGTTTCAGATTTTGGAGCTTTTTGGATTCTGAGCATTTCATATTTCAGATTTTGAGATACTCAACCTTCATTTTAGCACCACGTATAAAACATTTCCCACCTCAACCTCCCAAACTAATGGGGAAAATCCTGAAGTAGATTAAATCCTTTGAAACAGAGTCTCACTTTGTGCCCTGAGTAGAGTGCTGAGGTGTCAGAGCTCACAGCAACCTCAAATTCTTGGGCTCAAGCGATTCTCTTGCCTCACCCTCTGGAGTAACTGGGACTACAGGGGCCCGCCACAACACCCAGCTATTTTTTAGAGACAAGGTCTCACTTTGGCTCAGGTTGGTCTTGAACCTGTGATCTCAGGTGATCCACCCAATTTGGCTTTCCAGAGTGCTAGGATTATAGGCATCAGGCATCACACTTGGCCTGGATTAAACTTTAGATCTAACTACCAATTTACAGAAAACACAAGAAAAAGATAAGACATTAAACTACTGAAATGCAATGAATAAAATACAAAATGTAGGAAACTTTCTAGAAATAGGCAAAGCATAAGCCATGCATAGCGATCAAACGTAATGTGTGGATTGTGTTGGGATTCTGTGAAGACATCCTTACAAGCAGCTCAGGAAAACTCAGAACTAAATGCAGACTTAGCAATATTCATGAATTATCAACACCACACACCCACCACGATGGTCACTATCAAACAAACAGAATTTTAACAATATCACCCAGGATTTGGAGAAATTGGAACATTTGTGCACTGTCAGTGAGACTATAAAATGGTACAGCTGCTACAGAAAAATAAAAAATAAAACTAGAATTACCACATGATCCAGCAACCTCACACCTCTGGGAGCCCACAAAAATTGCAATCAGGATAGCTATCTGTGCACCCATGTTCACAGAGTAACACTACTGACAATAGCCAAAAGGTGGAAGTAACCCAAATGTCCACCAACAGATGAAGGAACAAAGAACATGTGTGATATGCATACAATAACATCTTAGTCAGCCTTTTTTTTTCTTAAAAAAACAGGGTTTCGCTCTGTCCACTGAGCAAGAGTGCTCTGGTGTCATCATAGCTCAGCTCACTACAACCTCAAACTCTTAGACTCAAGCAAATGATCCTCCTCTTCAGCCTCCCAAGTAGATAGGACTGTGGGCTCACACTGCCACACCTCGCTAATTTCTCAATCTCTCTCTTGTATGTGTGTGTATATGAGCATGTGTACAGACAGGGGTGGGGGGGGTTTCTTGCTCTTGCTGTTGCTCAGGCTGGTCTCAAACTCCTTGCCTTAAGTGATCCTCCAACCTCGACCTCCCAAAGTGCTACAATTATAACCACACCTGGCCACCATTCAGCCTTTAAAAAGAAGAAAATAATGTTCCAGGTTACATCACGTTTGGACCTTCAGTATATTGTGTTAAATCAAAGTAGCCAACCACAGAAAAACAAATCTTATATGATATTACTTATAAGAGACAGCTAAAGTAGTCAAACTCAGAAATAGAAAGTAACAGTTGCTGCCAGGGGCTGGGAGAAAAAGAAAAGTATTTTGTAGGCATAAAATTTTGATTTTGCAAGTTAAAAAAAATTCTAGAGATCTGTTACACAATAATGTGAATACAGTTAACATTGCTCAAGTATGCACTTGAAAATAATCAAGATGGTTAACTTGTGTTGTATGGCTTTTACCATAAACTTTTGAGTATATTTAAGTTTCTTTTCTGGCTGGGCCAGGTGACTCATCCCTGTAACCCCAACCCTCAAGGATGCCAAGAAGGAGGATCCCTTGATCTCCGGAGTTCAAGACTAGCCTGAGGAAAAGTGACTCCGTGTCTATTAAAAACAGAATAACAAGCCAGGCGTTACAGCAGGCACCTGAAGTCCCAGATGTTTGGGAGACTGAAGCAAGAGGATCACTTGAGCCTTAGGAATTTGAGGCTACTGTGAGCTAAGCTGACACCAAGGCACTCTAGCCAAGCCAATACAGTAAGATTCCATCACAAAACAAAAGCAAATTTTCCTTTCAAATAAAGTATCATTTTTTCCACATGTGACAATAGTGTTATAGCTATAGCTTTTAATACTCTAGCTCTCTGATAAATGCTTTAACTATTTATGAGTTAAACTGTATGATGTGAATAACTGACTTCAAAATAATTTAGGGTTGGAGATAGCAAGGGAACAAAGTGGTTAAGGATAAGACTGGTGACTACTGCAGCTGGATGAGAGTTCACTAAGCTGTTCAATATAATTTAGTATATGCTTCGAATTTTCATAATAAAAGGTCAAAATTACACACCTGTTGGTAATACCCCAACACACTCTTACATTTCTGTGGTGATGACATAAAAATGATTTCAAGGAATTCAACAAATTTGGCCAATGTATTTGGAGTGATCTAATTTAAATCAGAAAGAGTTGTTACAAGAGCAAAACAAAGCGCAGTCTACTTGAGTGGCACAGCACAAACACACTCGAGGATCGGCACTTAGAAAGGGTTGGGTGCCAAGCACCTGCATCTCAGAGACTCAACAGGCCCAAGGGACTTATTATTGGGGACATGTACCACAAACAACAAGGCTCCAACAATCAAAAAAAAACTAACAGGTTTCAAACGTGAACTTTAAACAAAAAGCCAAGAGCAGATACTCCAAATGCCAAAGCTTATCTATCACAAAGCTGCTTCTCACCTGAGAAACTCAACAGTGCTCCAGGGGAAATGGAAGACTTAATGATGGCTAACGAGGTGCCCGAGCAACCTAAAGAACCTGGCCAGGTGTTTAAATTAATGCAAAGCCATGTCATCTTCTGTGCTAGGTAAGGCTGCAGGGAGAAATTCTTATTTTCTTCATTACCCCCTCTCAACTAGGGGTAGGGAGAGAGAGAGGAAGAGAGAGAGGAGACAGAGGCAAGGAGGGAACAGAGGGGAAGAGGATAGGAAAGGAAGGAAGGAAGGTGCGGAGGATGCAGAGAAGGGGAGGAGTGAAACAGAGGAAGAGGTCAATTTTTCCCTCAGTAAGAATAAGAATACAGAAGATTAGACAAAAGAAAGTCTCCTCTTAGCAAGAAGTCCATCTTTAATATGAATCATTTCCTGAGAAATAGTTTTAAAAATGTCTTACCCACTTATTCTGGGTCTTATTAACTTTCAATAGTTTTTATTTCAGACTGATACATTTGTCATTTCCCACCAAATTCTATAAACCTTATCAGTTTCTACAGTGCCCTGATATAACATAGAAAACTACAATTTAAGTAAAATAATTAAAACTTTTGCTAATATACTATAGAAAATATTTTTAAATGGAACATATTACTAAGTAATTAATTCTAAAAATGTAAAAAAAAAATTCTTCTCCTTATTTACTGTAGGTACAGTACACAACAATACAATTAAGGTAACTAATTTTTGTATGAGAGAATCATTCTGAATTCTAGTTAATAGTGATGAGATCACTTAGTCTATGGCTAGAACAAATCTTTGATATTTAGTTCAATTCCATTATCAAATTTTTACAGCAGGTTTTGCCAAAAGTCATCCAAGATTCCTAGCATATTCAGGAAATAAAGCCAATTCCAGTTCCTAGAGTCCAATAGTCTTTCTGCAGCATCACTGGTTAGCAATTATATTACACAGAGAAAGTCTCCTCTCTTTGTAAGAATAGCTCTCCTTAAAATTATATTCATTAAGTAAAAACAGGTAGAACTTTAGCCATTTAACTGCCCATTAACTAAAAATATTAGGATAAATACAATATACAAAACCAACTATTTTACTACCACTGCCACTGTATTTTTAGTAAGAAAATTCTGTTCACAGAATAGAATTTGACAAAACACAAGTGCATCATTATGTAGCAATATTTTTCCTTCTGATGACCACAGTGAAGAGGTTTGAAAAACTACAGAAAAGAAAATCTCCAAAGTAGGATTTTTACTAAACATTCAAAACTTATTTAGTATTTTAAAATCACATATGGTTTTTGAAACATTTACTTTGGCTGGGAACATTAAGTATTTTGTCAAATTGTGAGACTCTTTCAAAAATCTAAAAAGATTCTAAAAAACAGGTGAGTAATAAATGGTGCAATCAGAACAGGCTGACATCAGGAGCTGGGGGTCTTACCATTGGCAGTGCATTGACGTGGGAGGTGCGACTGAGTGTCCGTACCGCCAGTTACAAGTTGCTGATGCTGAGAAAAAGGAAAGTAAAGTATTCAATGTGCCCTAAAACAAACTCAGTTTACAAAATTTCCATACCGAATTTTCTCCCCCAAGCAAATGGTATCTTTAAACAACAGCAGCAACTTCTGAGTGCTCTGTATGTGTCAGATCCTCAAAATGGTCCTAAGCACGTCTCAACACTGTGAACACAATGAGACTCAAAGAAATGAATGTGCACTCAAAGTGCTTCAACACCACTCCACTCAACTCCTGAACAGACTGCTGTGTTTGAGTCCAATACAGTGTGTTCAAGATCAGCGATCCTAAGTCACAAAGAATGGTGTGAACTTGCATTCTATCTCTTCTGTTATATAAGAAAAAAACACATTATCGGTTTTGAAACAATTAAATCAAAATCTGTTAAAGCAAAATGTCTTTGCTTATATTTTATAGCATTGACCAAATTTTCTCAACCAATAATAAATCACACCACAGGACATTTCAGGAACTGCTTGTGTAAATGTGAAAGCTGTTTCATACATCAAGTCAGGGAAGACTGAGGGGGGAACGCTGGCCAGTGCAGGTTCCAACGTGAGCTAAAGTGGAGTATAACTTTTGGTATAAGAAGTAAGGGGAAATAAGGTGATGCCAGAGAAAAGAGCATTTGCTACTACACATGCAAGGTTTAGCCTCCATCAAGAAAACATTAAAAAGATTAACTAAGCAAATACACTCAGAGTAACTGCAGAAATTTCTTCCCTTTGGCTTAATCTTTAGTTGACTGGAATACTTATTTGCCTTGATTCCTGACCCCACAGCCATACTAAATAACCGCAGTGCTACTACAGCTGGCCTTCCCTAGCTGACCAGCTCCCCCCACTGGCCTCAGAGCCACAGACCAGACATGCACCATAGCAATGCAGCAGGCCTAGTTCCTTAAGACCATCTCTGTATGCTGACCAGCTTGTTACAGTCCCTTGGGTGGCCAACTTACAAAGGTTCTACTGTATATAACTGTCAAATAGTTAAGTCATAAGAGATTTAGAAATTAAAATAACATTTACTGTACCACACACTTATTGAAATTATATAGATGGTTACACCAACTTACAATATCCCACCCAACTTCTGGTGCTTCCAGACATGCCACAGAAATGAGCCTTAAGAATTTTTGCCATGAGATATTTGTGAGGTATTTGGTAGGTCCCTCTTATCACTGACTAGGGAAATGTTCTTAGACATCATGACTCAGTCCAAACAAAAACCACATTATCACTAGGTTCTGTTCACCTCAGAATCATTTGTTATGAGCATCAATTATTTTAATGTAGAATTTTCCTGAATTTTTGACCTAAAATTATATAGTACTGCGTATTATCCAAAAATCAACTAACACCTTTATCAGGGAAAATTTTGGCATATATACATTCTACTTATAAATAATTAACATCCACTACTAAATGATGTATATTGTAAAACAAAACAAGTGGAAGACAATTGACTGCTTACCATGCTACAATATTTTTGTTTATAACAACACTCTAGAGTCTTGATGTCTTCATCATGATATGACACCATCATTAATATCTTAAGGCACAAGTTACCCTTAGAGCAAAGCTCATCAGTACCAACAGCCAATGTGTGTCTATATTTCAGAGATGTTGATAATCTAACTTTTTTCAGACATCATCTAAAAATAACTAGTTATGACAGGTGAAGAGTGCGTCTAGTTGTTTAAGTTCCAGCTCTGCCATTTTCTTGTTTCTCATTCTTGTTTCTATAAGCAGTTTCTTTACAAGAATCTTTTAGTCATTAGACTGTTTTTTTATAAGTTTTGATTAAAATTAAATAATAAAATTCATAAATCCATATACTCAAACACAAGTGAACAAGTGATATGGTTTAAATATGTTCCCAAATTTCACATGCTAGAAATTTAATACAAATTCATATATTGATGATATTTGGAGGTGGAGCCTTTGGGAGAGAATTAAAATTAGGTAAGGTCACCAAGGTATGGCTTCCATGATGGGACTGGGAGCTTTGTACAGAGAGAAAGAGGTGAGCTGGCCGGCTCGGGTCCTCTTGCCAGGTGATATCCTCCATCGTGTTATTACGTGGTAAGAAGGGCCTCAACAAATGTGGCCCCTGGACTTTAGACTTCCCAGCTTCCAGACCCTAAGAAATAAATTTCTTTCATTTTTTTTTTTTGGCCAGGGCTGGGTTTAAACCCACTACCATAGGCATATGGGGCCAGGACCTTACTCCTTGGAGCCACAGGCACCGCCCATAAATTTCCTTTTTTTTTATAGATTACCCACTATGCAAGCTACTGGTGTGCTGCAAACATTTTTAAAGATTAATTATTTTTGAAAGAAGTCCAGAAAGTATATTCTTTTCTTTACTCTTTTCTTTCTTTCTTTTTGATCAACATAATTTAAGTATTCTACGAAGTTAACTTTCAGTTCAAGTGTTCTGTGAGATAAAAAGGTTGAAAACCACCCTGTTAGCAAAGCAGAACACAGACTACGACAGGTAAATGTCAGCAGAAATAAGTGGCGATTTCAGAGGATGACGAGAATGGATGAAGTGCGGCTGTGCTCTTCCTGCAAACAGCATTACATCACACATGCCTCTCCGAACATCAGAGCCAAGTGAGGGTGCAAATCTGAACCCAAGTATCTAATTTTTAATCTAAAATGAACAAAAAATAGACTAATAGCACAAAATACCCCATGTGTACACATACAACTCACATCTGCCTTTGGAGGATACTAAATGAAATCATTCCAATTTTTCTCCTCTCCCTGGTTTTCTGTGCTCAATGACTCTTACTCTCATTACCCTCAAGATGTAGCTAATCTCAGTTTTCACTAATCATCTTTTCCTTACCTTTGTATTCATTCATTTAATTTTAGAAATTCTAGAAACACATGCAGAACCATATTTTGGTTTCTATCTTAGATATTTTCCTAGTCCATTTCATTTACCTAAGTCCTAGCCATTGCATAGTAGATTTATAAAGGATACCACATAATTTAAAAAAAAAAAATCAATTTTAAAAGAAACAGTTACATACTTTACATGGAAATCATAAAACTTTAAGGTGCATTTAACATACTCTGACAATACACAGGGTCTGGCAGAAGTAACATCTTTTTGTGCTTCAGTATGATATTGTTATGTTACAGAATTATATGCAAACAATGCACATTACATATAATGGCACAAATAATGCCCCTTTTATGATCTGGTAATCTATACCTATCTTCTATTACAAAATCATAACCATGTAATCTGTAACATAAAAATATCACCTTCTAGCACAAAAGAGTGTTATTTCTCCTGGATCCTACATATTAAAACTGTTTATTCAGAAATCACTCTAATTGTTTGAAATACAAGACCCTGTGTTTCCTACAGACCTGCTTTTCTATTTTCACTTATTCACCATCCTCTGCTCTCACCATAGCAGGTGACTGTACCACTGTTACCTGTACTGTTTGGCTGCCATGACACTCGTCATTCCTCAGAAATGTCCTTGCAACTATGGTTCTGACCACAAACCCAGCACATTTCTTTTCTCAAAGTTCAGCTCAGATCTGCCTCCTCTTTTGATTATCCACATTGCTATGTGAGGAGAGAACTATGATTCCCCCTTGCCATACCCAGCCTTACCACAGCTGAGAAAGTGCCTTTTCTCTTACCATCCCTCCCTTATCAGACTTCTAGAGACCAGGGACAGATGCATTCATCTTGCTGCCCTCCACTAACAGCAGTGCCTCTGTTAGGTTGATAAACATTATATTATATGAATAGGAACATATGGACAGATACCTGAAAGCAAAACAAGGTAGAGACTGACTTAAAGCACAAATAAGTCCCACTGATACGGAAGGAGTTAACAGTGAAACATTATTTTGAAAATGCCAGGAGAGCCTGGTTACACCAATGATTCTAGTTCCACTTTTAGGAGGTGGCCAATAAAGGCTGATATTCTGCCACTGACCCAAAATTCAACAGCACATGATTAATCCTATTATTAAATTAGCATAAACCATTTGCGCCACTTGTAATAAAATAAACATTTGTTTATAGGCCTTGTCTTTCTCTTTAAACACAAAGTGTTGCTTCTAAAATCTATGTGAGAACATTTTATCTCAAATAAATTATTAATTTTAGAATAGATATTCAGCACAGAAAGACATTGTTGGCTCAGCAGATGTTTCTAAGATCTGTCACCTATACATAATTAGGTATTTTTTAAGATGCAAAAATCCTGTAAAATTGTAAAACGATGTATTTTGACTTATCTTCAAAAATACTGCCCTGGGCTGGGTGTGGTGGCTCATGCTTAAAATCCCAGTACTTTGGGGAGGCTAAAGGTAGGAATATGGCTTGAACTCAGGAGTTTTGAGATCAGTCTGGGCAACATAGTGAGACCTCCTCTTTACAGAAAATAGGTAAAATTAGCTACGTAGTGGCACAAAACTGTAGTCCCAGCTATTTAAGAGGCTGAGGGAGAAAGATCACTGGAGTCCAGAAGTTTGAGGCTGCAGTGAGCTACGATGATGCCACTGCACTCTAGCCCAGGAAAGAAAGGAAAAGGAAAAAGAAAAAGAAATAAAACTACCAAGAAGTAAATTTATTTATTTAAATATATAGGCCCCTTTGAAAAGATACAAGACATTAAACGACCCTTTTCCCTAGCAAAAAGTACAAATACAATAAAAATGTATTTATTTAAGCAACATAATCTAACCTAGAACCTAGTGGTCATTAACAAGACTGAGGATATATTTATGTATATCCTTAAAAAACAGAAGTTTGATCGCATGGTCTGTGTTAGTGGCTCACACCTGAAATCCTAGCACTCTGAGAGGCCCAGGCAGGTAGACTGTCTAAACTCAAGAGTTTGAGACAATACAAAATCTCTGAAAAAAGAAAAGCCCGAGACCAGATGGCTTCACATCCAAATTCTATCAAACCTTTCAAGAGAAACTAGTACCTATATTATACAACGTTTTCC